TTTTATGTGTGATCTTGATGATCTGATAAGAGGATCTTGATGATTGTGTGATGTTCTCGATAAATCTTGATGTTTCTTGATATTAAAAATGAACTATGATCTTGAGGATTTGAATGGGATCAGAGCCCTAGGTTAAATTGAGAATTTTATATTATGATGTTCTTGGTATATACTTGGGTGGGAATTTGCATGTTCGGGTGTTGATTATGTTTAGAAGTCATGATATGATGTGTTCAATGTAATTCTTGGTTTTGATCCGTTATTTGATTACGTGGTGTCGTCGCTTGTGTTTAAAAGTATCTAAGTATGGTTTCGGGTTCCACAAAGGATCCCGAGACCCAAGTATTGAAAAAGAGTCAGTGGGGGGTAGGGGGACCCGCCACCTACCCGCTGCCCGAAGTTACGCCGCCGGCAGCGGGTAGACGACTACTCGCCGGGCACCCGCTGCCCGGAGGTTCATCGCCGGCGGGTGGCCCTCCACCCGCTGGATTTTTCCCACTTTGAGACTTTGGCTTCCCCGTTTGATATTCCCCAACCCTCGTGGTGTCCCAACGGACTCCGTTTGTCGTGCCTGAGTCTAGTTTGATGTTTCGGGTACCGTTCGTAGGATGAAAGAGTCTTGTGTATTGCATGCTAGTTGAATCGGTGACCCGTTGGCCAAGGAGGAAGATGTATGAACCCCTTAGGACTATTCTTAGTATGTAGATGACTACACATAAGTTTTATTTATACGTTTTCCCCCTCCCGATGTGTTAATATGGGTTGCATGTGCTTGCTACGTGATATATGTGCATGATTCTTGGTTGCGGTCAAATTGGTTATACATGAGCTGCGGTTCATTATCTTGGCTGCGGACAAATTGTTACTCATGAGCTGCGGTTCATTATCCTGGCTGCGGTTAGTGACTCACTTCTAGGGCTGCAGTCCACCTCATGGGCCTCGCGTGCTGTGGTCCACCGACTGGACGCGTCAGGCGGTGTGTAAGGCTACTAGCCACGAGGAAGGCTATAGTCCACCGAATGAGTTCGTCAGGCAGTGTGTAGGGCTATGGTCGGCTGCGATCCACCGAGTGTATGTGCCGGCGGTGTGTAGGGTCGTAGTCCCCAAAGATCATAGTCCACCGAATGAATCCCTCAGGCGGTGCGTAGGGCTATGATCAGCTACGACCCACCGAATGAGCTCGTTAAGCGGTGTGTGGGTCGCAGTCCCCAAAAGAGGATCACAGTCCACCGACTGAACGCGTCAGCGGTGTGTAGGGCTATGGTCCGCCGTTGAATCTATCGACGGTCTATACAATTGGCTACGGTCAATTCCTTCATGCTGCGGTATGAGGTAGGGTGCTGCGGGGCCGTGTTAGCGCTATATGCACTAACCCTCATGTTTGGGGCATGCGATTAGTCCCGTGGCGCCACCAAAGTGTGCTTGTGTGACAAGGATATTGATTGAATGATGATATGAATGACATAAAAGTGAATTGTAACCTGTTTATATGATGTTATCTCTATATACTCCGTTATCAGTGTTGAATGTGTTTATCCCTATCTGTCGAGTCTAATCCTGATTTTAAAGCTAGAGTCTCCTAAGTACATTCCTTCCTGCTTCAAAATGGTTTTAATATATCTATGTATATATATTTACCTATATTGTATTTTAACGCGTTATAGTGGGTTACCAGCATCATTCGCTGAACAAATATATTTGGCTTTCAGGCACAGATGATTAGCTACCGGAGCGCGCTAGAGGACCTCGGCTTAGATAGTTAGTCTTTCCTTTCGGCCTGCGCGCCTTGATGATGTAATGACAATGTTTAAAGGATAGTTAGTTAGAATAGCCTGTGCATCTGAGTTCTCCAGCTCAGATGTGGCATAACACCCCAGACCTTATGTTTAGAATACTCCATTTGGGATTTATTTAATAGAATTGCTTTCATATTATAAGATTGAAAAGTTTTAAAATTTCGGGGTATTACAGATGGTATCAAAGCCTAAGTCCGATCCTAAGACAATGCCTTTAGGATAAGACTTTAAGATTTTAAGACATTAGGCTTGAACTCTAGAATGTTAAGCTTAAACTGCAGGTGTTTAGGAACTTAGGATATAGGAATCTTAGGACGCGCGGTGAGATTGTGAGTTTATCGTTTTTTCTCACATACTTGTTCTTCATTCCTTATACTTGCCCTAAAAGTTGTGACATCCTTGCATACTATTACCTGCCTTGTTGCATATCACTCTTTGATTACAAACAATTTACTTTGACATACTAAAACTTGATAAACTATCGATTTTTGTTTAAATACCATACTTGTTTATTTGCTTAAACATGAAAGTTGGATTATGTTCCTAATTGATTTGTTTATAGACCGAGTCAGGAATTGCATATTATTGCTTAAACTATTTGATCAAACGTGCGTCATTTGGATATTTGTTATTTGATATTTTGGAACTTGTAATTGGTAATTTTATTCGGCATATAATAGCTCACTTTTCCTAATCATAATTGACCAACTACTTTGATAATTAACCTACTAGTAGCTTGATAAGTACTTACATGAGTCTGCATGGAGAAAATTGTGGGAACGTAGCTCTAGTTAAGAAGGGGGGGAATGGGGTGTGTGACCCTTATGATATCTCATTCAATGTCTCTCGTGTCCCTTGTTAGTATCATTATAATGTGATTTCCTAAGATTTTTCATGCATTTAAATCCCTTTTATTGTTCATATAAGCGTGGAATTGTTTAGACTTAAATCTGTGCATTCTCGGGACTTTTCCGAAGTGATTCCTTCTTCGCAGTCACGTTCCAGTGGGGCCTTGGCAGGAGGTCGACCACCCACCACGTGCCCACTACCACGTTCCAGTGGGGACTTGACAGGCGGTCGACCGCCCACCTCGCGCCCACTGGTACGGTATGTTTTCTTGACTTCTCGTTTTATTGGTCCATTGTGCATTTGTTTGTCTTCCTTGATACTTCTTATGTGTTTAACATGTAAATAACAATCTAATGCTTGAACATGAAAGTCGAATTATCTTCCTAATTGATTTGTTTATAAGTTACATAGAAATTATGGGGACTGATTCTACTTCTAGAAATCTAAATCCTCGGGTACATTGCGTATTAAGTTTTGACCCGAAGGACAATATGAGTGAGACCGGGAGAAACCCGAGGAACCTAAACCAAGTGGTCATCTTATCCTTGGAAAAATTATATTGCATCCCTAAACTATCTTAAAGCTATCCCTCTAGACTTTGGTCCATGTTGCATAATAGACCACAAACCTCCAATGCGTTGTTTAGAACCCTTGACCACTAAGATAAGGACCTCCTAAATAAACATTTATACAACCCTAGTCACCTTGCCTAAACCTAAATCCTCCATGGTTGCGTCATATACGGTACATCCCCATATGCTTTTATATATATATATATATATATATATATATATATATATAAACTTGTGAGCCTATAGAACATCCTCCCTTATACATACCTATTCATATCAATTGTTATAGTCATATTATATACAATAATATCCCTAGCCTCAAAACCATCCTAGCCATGATAATCTTATATGCATCTATGAGTTTGCACTTAGCATGTCCTAACCCTGAAATATCATTCCGTACAAATTACATCACTCTTATATACACATATCCTGAGATAGCCCAAATTCAACATTTCCCCCTCGCATGACCTCCCTATTACCACCCCTACCTTCCCTAAGTAATTAAAAAGTTTAGCCTCATCATCAGGTCACCAATTGATTTAGGAATTAGCAATCAAGGGTCTTCAATCCTAAGTTGTTTAGGTATTCTGGGCTTCTAGAGGTAAGATTTATGCCTATCTACAATTTATTTACCACCGGGATATAACTAATTTTCCTATGTAATTGTGTGATCAAATTCTGTCAAGATTTCTCAAGATAAAGCTTTTAGTATTTGAGAACCTATGCTATTTTACTCGTAATTATTAAAGAATATTTGTATGCAAATTGCATGTTCCAATTATAGGTGGAAATTTATATTTTCATATGTAATGCACATAGCCCGCACGTTTATGTCAAAACACACACTTACACGCATTTATGTATATATACAAAGCATGTTAGACAAAACTGTATGTTATAAGGCATCCCACTACCAATTGTGAGCCTATGTACGTCTTGGGCTTGTTCCGGACGAGGTCGCTGTGGAAAGGACCAAACCTGAGGTTGTTGGTGAAGAATGGGATGGCGGACCTTTCGTCGGAATTGGTCACCCCCATGGCCTCCTTCTTCCACTTACTCATGTACTCCGCCAAGGTCTCCAACTTGTGTTGCTTCAAGTAGCACAGGTCGGCGAATTGCTTCCTTCGTTGTATGCTACCCGCGAAGTGCGACATGAACTTCTTAGCTAGGACGGCAAAAGTGGGGATGGACTCCCCCGACAAGGACCCGAACCAGTCTTGGGCCTGGCCATCCAGAGTTGTGCAGAAACCGCGACACATGATTGTGTCATTGACGCCCGTCATCATCATGACTGCCTTGTACCTGTTGAGATGATCCCGTGGGTCCGTCGCCCCCGTGTAGGGTTTGATGGCCGGGAACCGGAAGTCCCGAGGCAGGGGCTTGGCCATGATGTCCCTCTTGAAAGGTGTGGCTAGGGCGTCCCGAGGCTCTGGCGACTCGTCACGCGCCTCCATCTAGCGCTGCAACTCGCGCATCTGCCTGCGCAATTGTTTCATCTTGTCGCGCTGGGCGCTCGGAGGTCGGCCTCTGGTCTCCCCCGAGCGCTCCACTGGTGAGGTCGGCTCGCGTGGTCCTGGAACCCGAGGTTCGTGGCTCCGAGACCTCCGTGAGCACGACGACTCCGCCTGTCTGGCGTTGGTGGCCGACCTTGGCCCTAGGCGGTCTCGCGCCGGCATACTGTCAAATTATTCAAATACTAGAAAAAAAAATACTCCACTTATCATTCAACCATTACCAACAAAAATACATTACATTAGTTCATTATTACACCATTAAACTCCTACTTTAGCTGCAATAACCCTACACTTGGTAAACCACTCCTCATCCATATACTCATAACAAAAACTGCAAATACAACACCACTTCCAAATCCATACAAAAACTTCATATTGGACTCCCAAATCTTCTTATTAATTTTATATCTTTTTTTCTCAATTGTAAATTGCAGCTTGTCTATTTCCTTCTCATACTTATCTGCCATCTTCAACAAACCTCTAATCATATTGGATACACATTCGGAGACATCATAGTCCATCCATTCAAAATACCGGCAACTTCCATTTCCCTAACCATGCATCATTCAAAAATTCTAATAATTACATAACAAAATGTAATCTTTTACCACTTAATAGGTTTTACAAATTTTTCACTTACCCCGTATCGTGGACATACCCTATATCTCTTTCCTGGGTTAACATAACTCCAAGACATCTTCATTGGAGCCAAATATTCACACCTACATCGCACCTCCGGCATGCATTCTGATGAAGAACTCTTGTTTCAAGACATTATTATCTTTCTTCTGTAAATGATCAACTTTGAACCTCAATGTAAATCCTTCTTCTTCTTTGATTCTTCGTTGCTCGGATTCTTCAATTTCATCGAATTCTATCGTTGCTCCAAAACTAGGGCTATTGAGGAATTCTTCGACTATGAAAGTAAATATCCATCCGAGGTCATCACCGGGGTTATAAGAGGGATGAAGACAAGAAATGACAAAAATGCTCACACAAAAACGGGTTATCACCGGCTTCTCGACGGGAGAAGTGCTTGAAGGTCTTATTTGACAAACATTAAATTAATTAGAGGACCAAATTAGTCAAAATTGGAACTTAGGGACTACATTGACAGTTCAACAACAATTGAGGGACTAATTTGTTCATGATCCCTAAAATATATATACTTTAATATAAGTAATATAGATTTGGAATAGGAAATTAAAATTTGTGCTACAACAAATAAGGTTTAGTTTAAGCAAAGTGAAGACAATATATTTTAGAATAAGTATAGTTTGCCATTGATATTCTTTTAGGGTGTACAAAACTGACTTGGTATGTTACGTAAATTGAAAAAAAAAATACAAATTAAACAAACACATACCACGTCGGTTTTTAGTTAAAAAGCGATGTGATATGTTACTTTAGAAAATTTTAAAAATATACGACACCGGTTTTCCTTAAAAACCAATGTCGTATATTTTTATTTCCCGTATTTTTTTTATATTTAATAAAGTTACGACGTCAGTTTTTTTTATAATCGATGTTGTATCATTTATTTATAATGTCTGTTTGAACAATGTCTAATATTAACCGACGTCTTATGGTCTAAATAACCGACGTTAAAGATATTTTTTTGTGGTAGTGATAATTATTCTTAAATATATATTTTTTAAAATAATAATAAGATCTATATATAAAATCATTAGAAAAAATACGTTTTAGTATTTCAATTATGCAATCTAGTCGTTTTTGTTTGTCTTTTAATCATTAAAGAATACACCTCTAACTTACCGTCTTACACACCGGGAAAAAAAAAATCATATGCAGCTTCTATTAAACATACACTAATCAACACATGGAACACGAGACAATTTGCATTGGAGGACTGTTGCATTACTCGATAGACAAAAATTGTAACTTTTTTTGTAAAGTTAGGGCGTGTTATACAAAAGCTAAAAAAATATAAGCTAAAAACAGTTAAAATTAGAATTGAAGGATTAAAATGTAATTAATTTTTTGGCCAAATCATTGATATTCTCTTGCTAGTCCTATGTAGAATTTTCTTCACGTTGAGATACTGCACTACCTAGAATGGAACAAAAGTTGGAACAGCGAAAGGGGAAAGGTGAAAGCAACGTTTTCCTAGTTTATGGAAGCCAACTAATAATGAATCTAGAAATCGCAGCTGTCCAACTCCTTTAGACAAGCAAGATATTCGAGATTTTCAAGATTTCATGATTTCCCTGTCTTGTAGGTTTAGATAAACTTGAATTATGATTCAACTCGAATCAAGCTAATTAATCCAACATATAATTTGATAACGACAAGATGCTAAGCCCTTTAACCTGTACCTTATATTAGCAAAGTGCTGACCAGATTGATTTTTCCATACAAGAGGGGATTTAAATTCTCAATCTCTCTTAAGGGATAAGAGTGTACAGTCACTCACGCCAACCAAGCTCATTATCTATTGACCTTCTTGATTTAAGCCAATTAGTTATGGACAATCAAGGTTGATTTACCTCATTGTGATTTTTGGCGACTAAGGTCCCAATGTGAGTTTCATTCCAGAGTACATCTGTGAGTAGCAATTGTTGATTTTTTTTTTTGTAAATCAAAGATAAAATTGAATTGCATGTATGGCCTGCGCAACCCAATTGGTACTCAAGTGGTAGATTATAGATTTTGGACAATGACAGAGGACCGAGCCATGTCAACCGCAACGTTGAGTTTCATGTAGTGAATTCTTTGTGAAAACCAGACACTAAGAAAATTCGATTTTGTACACAAAGACAAAATTGAATTATATTAAAAAATTAATATGATTTCCACGAGGGATATGATATATATACATCGGTACCAAGCAACATGATTTTGGTGGTCAAGAAAATATTGTATTGTATGGTGTTGGTCAAAAATTGCGACGTGGTACAAAAGCAGATGTTCCCTTTTCGGATGGGTCAACAAAAACGAGGTTAAGTGCAATGTTTAAGGTTTTGGTTTAAGGCTCGTGTTGAATGAAGTCCAACAATATCATGTTCCGCCAACAATTTTGCTGGGCATAGTACTCGATTCTCAATTATGTTGTGTGCACCAAAAGTCACACCATGTTAGGTAAACCAAGAGCTGATGTGGTCTATCTATCTGGTCGGTATTTTATTTTATTACTTTGTGTATATGAGAGAATGCATCGTGTTTAATCTGCTAGGTATAGCTTAGGTTAATGTTGTTTGGTATTCTAGCTAGCTTAGCTTGCTAGGTAAACCTCATCGTGTATTTCACTATAATTTTACTGCTTAGACACAGTACACCTTTAAAAATATAACCAAATTTTCATTCCTCAAAAAGACAATAATAATAGGTATAGTTTATCATTTGTGTTGAATATATACTGTAACTTAGGTATACCGTTTCATCAATACCCAATACGTGATTCTAATTAATTGACTAAAGTTCATGTTAAATTTTATACTGTATTTTTTTAAAACACTCTAACATATTCATAGTATATGTTTAACAATTATGTCTATAGCTTACACTGACGGAATACAATTGTATTTAGAAAAAGTAAATGATATAATAGAACGTAAAATAGGAAAAATAATTAAAAAAAATACTAAAATCAAAATAATATGAACCATTCATTTAAACCAACAATTACACTAACATTTTCTGTTAGGGGCCTAACTTTATGGGCTCTTATATTAGGTTTGTAGATATATATAGATACTGGTTGTCTGGTTCAAATGCGGATAGTACTTCCCGTGCGGCCGGTGCGGATTCACCATTAGTTATGCAAAAATGCATCACACAGTGTTAGGAAAAGCACCAATCCATCACACATCAAATAAATGTACCACACCGTGCACTACACATAATGGTGCATTTTCGAACACTTTGTGGTGCATTTATGCGTACCTAATGGTGAGTGACCGCACGAGAAACATTGTTCGCATGGAAACTGACTATATATATATATATATATATATATATATATATATATATATATATATATATATATATATATATATATATATATATATATATATATATATATATATATACTAGTTTTTTACGCGCATTGCGCGATTGAGATAATGCCCAATATTTTTTTAAATAAGTATTTTAAAGTATATCAATGCAAGATTATATTTGAATTGTTCATGCATAGATAATTGAATGTTAAATTTGACTATTCATGAGAATTCATGATTCATTGCTTGAGGGATATATATATATATAAACCATTTGACTGTTTTTTTAGTGAGGCGAACCCATATTCATTATCTAAAAGCGTGCATTATATATATATATATATATATATATATATATATATATATATATATATATATATATATATATATATACTAGTTTTTTACGCGCATTGCGCGATTGAGATAATGCCCAATATTTTTTTAAATAAGTATTTTAAAGTATATCAATGCAAGATTATATTTGAATTGTTCATGCATAGATAATTGAATGTTAAATTTGACTATTCATGAGAATTCATGATTCATTGCTTGAGGGATATATATATATATATATATATATATATATATATATATATATATATATATATATAAACCATTTGACTGTTTTTTTAGTGAGGCGAACCCATATTCATTATCTAAAAGCGTGCATTAAGTAAAGTATATTTTTATACAATAGCTCACAAACTACACATAAAAACTAAACTGCACTAAAATACCCTGTATGACAATGCAAATTTAATCAAAAAATATATATTGACAAGAACCAAACTTTGCTTCACTTACTCAATCACCCTTTCAACCACATTTAACATTCTTGATGCATGCATGAGGCAAGAAAGGGAACTAAATCATGAGCAAATCCACTAGACAATTCAACTTCTAACAACTTTTTTATGAGATGTATGCGTGAGAGATAGAGTTGCTTAGAGTTCGAAGTTATTTTTGCTTTTCTTTTATTATATATCAAAATAATTTTATTAAAAAAAAAAAAGAATCATGACTTTTTATATTCAAGTCAACGATTTAATATTGCATTTACAATGTGCTTCAATTGATCTTGTATATATATGTCATATATATGAATACTCTTAATACTGTTATAAATATATTATTGAATGGCCATTATCATTGAGGCTTTTCATTTGCCCTATCTTCAACTCTCTCATTATGTTAGGAAATGAAGGGTTGTATTATTTTGTATATATATACATGTTGAAGGATGAATAAGATGAGCCTTTTTGAAGTTCTTATATCATGTGTTCTACTATTCTCTCTACTCTGTCATTCCATATTACAATATTGTTTATACATATAATTGGCGCGTTACCGTACAACAATCCCGGTAGATTGAGCTAATCAGTAGGCCAAATTACAACACGTTATCAGCACGAATCGCCAACATATTCCTCGGTGAACGGTATGCTCGGACATGTTATAATACATGTTTTTATACTAGGCAAGCATGTTCATAGGTTTCATATAATACATGTTTTTATATGGCACATGTTGATTCTACACCTCTTGATATGATTATGAAATACATGATTGATATGATACATATTGATTCTAAAATTTGAAATATGAATTGCACATACCGATTCATATATATATGATTGTGTAAATTCCTGAATATATATTTCCAATTTTATTTTTGATTCTTAAAATTGAAAGAAAAGCATGTGATATATATGTTTGTGTAAATAGATGGGGCTTTTCGTATGAAGATGCAATGTGATATATATGTTTGTTTTTGCACAGGTGC